CCTCACGTGTACAAATATATATATGTACATAATAGTATTTGTAGAAGAGGATGAGAGAAGATGTGACAGAGATAATGGATGAATGGAAGCGTATGTAATTCATTCGTGTATAATTTTTCATTTGTTGTTTACAACTTAGTTACGTTTTTACAAGTATGTTTTATTTGTTGGCTTTCTTCGTCATGTCGTATCTTTTCTGAAGTCTGTTAACCCTTCTAATACCATGCGAAAAAAGTGCCGTAGAATACCATGCATGGACATTTTTGTCCATAGACTTAAATCATAAAAAACTCGACTCTAGTCAACTTTATCATTAATATATTAATTAATCTGACATATTAGGATTCTTACCACACATTTCACACACAATATTCACACTATTTTGCATTTCAGACACATATATTCCGCGTTTGTAGTATTTTTAGCATTTGGTTCTATTTCTACTAGCTTTTTGTTCACTTACATAATTAAAAGCTTTATCATAATAATATACATGTCTATGATGCCTACAACATATATACGGTGTAATAGATGAGAAAATAAATGAGAAGACAGAAAAAATACCATATACAGGTGAATCATACTATCATATGAGCTTTTTTCATGTACAAAAAAACGTTGACTTTTTCAGGAAAAAGTAAAAATTTGTTGAAAAGGAGATATTCAGCAGATGATAGAGCTATAAAAATTGACATTCTAAAAAGTTGATATCGATTAGTTCAGGCCTTCATCGGAAATTAAGCTTTTTACACACGTATGGACGAAAATGTCCATGCACGGTATTAGAAGGGTTAATGTAATATATATTCAGTATAAGTGTTTAAATTTTTATGTACAAGTATGTAAGACAGTATTAAAAAGTTTCGAAGAGTATATGATTATTTTTTAAACTAGTTTTTTTTGTTAGCTTATCTAGCGTAGTATTGAACAATTTTTAGTCAATCGCTTTGGTAAGCGCAAATGAAAACATATCATGTATTTACAACTGATGTCGATATTATACACTAAGTCCTCAAAAATATTTGACTATATGGTAGATATATGAACTTTCTAATGATTAAAGGCTATGTATAGCAGAACTGACTGATTTTTGAACATTTGCTCACTTTGTTCAACATAATATAGGAAAAACGAGCAGTATATAGTATAAAGCATAGGATTTTTCAAAAATATAGGTCGAGTCCAACTCAGCTAAGGGTGTGGGCGTGGGTGTAGATATGGGTGTCAGTGTAGGCGTATCTCATGGGCTTAGCTACACATACCCATACGCACACCTACACCCACATCCGCAACCTCAAGATATTAAAAATAAAAGAAATTCATCAAAATAATAAAAAAATATATACTTTTCACTTCATCGATATTTGAACTGCAGTTTAGCGACCCTTTTAATTTGTTACTAACCACGAACTTTTATCATCTAAACAGATCAATTTAACATTCTACTATGACTGAAAGTCGCCACACTTATTCAACAAATGAAAAAATCATTTCTGATCACTAGAACAGAATGTACTACTGCAGATACAAAATCGTCTAATGAGACCCCTGAGCATGGTGGAAATCGAGATCACAGTGTGCTTTGACTTACCCTCACACCCTTACCCTCAACGCGTCACGGTCGTTTCAAAACGAAGTCCATCTTAGCTAGGTATCGGTTTAAACTCATACTATCATTGATTCTGCGCAATTTGTAAATCAGATGGACAAGAGAAATTTGCATCATGTGAATTCCGGGCGTCGAACATGACTATTTTCAATAATAAAAGAAGTGAATTCAGTAGGGGACCAACTTATGTGTTTAAAACCCCCTTCCTTTGCTGTACTGGATAAGCCTATAAAATCCTATAAGTGAAGGGTCGCAATGACCCAGACTTTCGCATTAGGAGAACCAGCCTTTTATTTTATTATATGTACTTTTAAAAAAAGTTTTCACAACCGCAACAGCTTTTGTAAATTTTTCCGTTATGTATGATTTAATCCGTTGAATCGCATTGAGTAATCGTGAAAAAGTATTATCAGTTTTTTTTTCTAGAAATTTAACGTTGTATAACGCATTTGTACGAAGTTTTTCATGTTGCTCCATTTTCTTTTCATAGTCTTTTTCCCCCTTCACTGGCTTTCTCATTTCAATAACCTTTATCGCTATCTCAAGATCAGATGCAGTTGATGCTTTTAATCCATCACAAGCTGTATTCAGCATTCGTTCAAGTTCGTCCATATCACGTTCGTCCTGCGCATGCGATATCCTGTTTTGAAAGTTGTTGGCGAAGCTGTCAATTTGATCATTAGTAGAACTTAGAAATTCAGTAACTACATTCTGAGCGACTCTATATTCCTGTTCAATTTTTCGATGTTCCACAGTTCTGTTGTTCACACGTAACCGAGATACCGTCAGATAATGCTGTTCCTGTAGTGGTTGCTTATACTGTTGCTGTGGTGGTTGCCTATACTGTTGCTGTGGTGGTTGCCTATACTGTTGCTGTGCTGGTTGCCTATACTGTTGCTGTGCTGGTTGATAAGATTGTTGCTGTGGTGTTTGATAGCACTGGGTAGCATACTGATATGGGTTAAAGTTATACTGCATGGGAACAAAATAGGTGGGTGTCACATATGAATATGTGTAGTAAGGAACGTAGTAAATATTTTGATTCGGCCACATTCTGCTGGGCAAGATCGAAGTTTTTCGAAGCCTAAACTAGAGTACTCAAAGGCTCAGTTATATGCTGGAGAAGGGATAAGAGTTGGTATGTGTTTGAACTGAAATAAAGTAAATAATATGCTTTTATTAGAAAAAATATTATGAACTCAATACCTCTTATGGTTTAGAATATTTGATCCAAATGGCTTGAAAATTTAAAAAAATCTACAACAAATAGCACAGCTTCCGTATAACACACACCGCTCGTAAAACCAGTGCTTCGATATCAATTATGGTTGCTTTGTCAGCCCAATCCCCTCGGATGCGCTCGCTTGAAATATTGTGTACTACATACGCTACTACTTTCGAATAAAACAACTATGTTGCATCCCACAATTAAACTTAATTTTTTGTGAGTTTTTGTTGTCGTAACTTAAGAGGTTGATATTTTAATTATATCTGCTCAATAATTATCAGTAGTTTTCGGTTGCTGACCGCGAAGGAAATGATTTAGATAGTACAATATGTCAGCAAAATTTTGAAAACTCACATACTAAACTCTAAAATAGGCTTCCTTGGTAATTAAAAACGAGGAATGATCGATAGTTAGTCAACAGGTATGATTAGATTATCAAAGTTTTAAGTTAACACAATGAATACACAAAATATTTAAGATAGGAGGGCAGAGGGGTATCCCTCCTCTAAACTTACTCTCAAATTTTGTCAGTTAGTAGAGTTCTACCACAAATGTCTAGACTTAAAACATTTCACGGCTTGGATGTTCTTTGTTGTAGGTACAAAGATTTCATAAATCGAAAAAAACACATTCTTCACCTATTTTAAGATGAACGAAAAAAGTAGCTCTGACTTAGTCCCAGCTCTTATAAAGACTTCGAGGAAAACAATGTCATGTAAATTGACTAAAAAAGCATCAAAACTAGTGTATGATAGAATCTTCAAGTGTACGCTTTAGATTGATAAGTTTTCAATAAAAGTTTATATGTATATGTGAGTACCTACAAAATATCTTATGACGAAATTACAAAGGTCTAGCAGATTCTATGCGAGAAATAGCAAATAACAGGTTCGATTCACATTTACTACTATACATTTCAACTGGAATCTGTCAACTGTTTTTCAGATAACTTTTCAGATGAGGATCATAAGAACGTACGATTTTCACCAGTCGAACGACAAAACTCAGGGCTATGTATATGTGCCGAAATCTAAATATTCGCCCATTGAGCAATGTGATGATTTCTTTCCGAAAACTGAAAAAATGCAGCACGCAACCACGTTTCATTTGCTCTACAGCTTACAATATAACCACTCAACATAAAAACGGTTTTTCTATCGATTACTTTGGATTAGCTATATTGTAAGCTGTAGAGCAAATGAAACGCGGTTGCGTGTTGTATTTTTTCAGTTTTCGGAAAGAAATCATCACATTGCTTAATAAGTGAACATACCGATTTCGACACATATACAGTCCTTGGCCCGATCTTCTGACTGGTGAAAACCCTACGTCCTTATGATCCTCATCTGAAAAGTTATCTGAAAAATAGTTGACAGATTCCAGTTGAAATGTATAGTAGTAAATGTGAATCGAACATGTTACTTGCTATTTCTCGCATAGAATCTGCTAGACCTTTGTAATTTCGTCATAAGATATTTTGTAGGTACTCACATATACATATAAACTTTTATTGAAAACTTATCAGTCTAAAGCGTACACTTGAAGATTCTATCATACACTAGTTTTGATGCTTTTTTAGTCAATTTACATGACATTGTTTTCCTCGAAGTCTTTATAAGAGCTGGGACTAAGTCAGAGCTACTTTTTTCGTTCATCTTAAAATAGGTGAAGAATGTGTTTTTTTCGATTTATGAAATCTTTGTACCTACAACAAAGAACATCCAAGCCGTGAAATGTTTTAAGTCTAGACATTTGTGGTAGAACTCTACTAACTGACAAAATTTGAGAGTATGCTTAGGGAAGCGAGTATCTCCTTAATTCTGCAATGCAATATAGCCATTCTCTTCGGAGATATGAAAGAACACGCGATACTGTGAATTTTAGACAGCGTTCAATGGCTATTGAGTGATAAGTCTCACGTGTGTTCATCCACAGCTAGCGCATACTGGTGTACCACAGCAGTCTATTTTACATCAAAATATGCAGTTCTCTTCGCGACGTTTCTTCTAATCACCATATTAAATCTGAAAGAACAAAAAGAAAATAAGGTTATATCGGAATGAAATCTTCTGACTCGACTCTGTAAGGTTTTAGTCGAAATTGTTAAAATAAAGGTTTGGAAACAAGTTTAGGATAAATAGTCTGAATGCAGTTTGTATGTTCTTATTGACTTTGCTTGTTCGATTTTGTTCCTTCAACTTGTTGTTCAAGCTGATCAATTTTATGAAATATTGGATCCCATCTTTGTTCTATATAATTATCGACGTTTTCTTGAAACTGTCGTGTAACGGGCGTAGGATCATTCCCATTTGTGATTGCTTCCCATACATCGTCGAGGAACAGTCGATATCGTGTTAATAAATCTGTGATGGTTTTTCGCATATGTTCGACCATCAATGTGGCGCCCTTTACATATTCAATATAGGCCACTTTTTTCTCTCGATATTCTGGATCTTTTGGATCTGGTCGAGCACTCATAACCGTTTGACGAAATTCGTCAACATTACGAGCGAGCATGCGTTCAAAATCCTTGAGCGCATCATGAAAATATTGTTCTTGTTCTTGTTCAGTCATATTTTTCATCTTCTGTTGATGACGATCTTTCACATGCTGATTTTGAGTATTTAATTTTAGAACCAGTGTAGGAAGTGCCCGATGAATTTCTTGCTGCATCAATGTTATAGTTCTCTGCATACAAAAATGGAAAGTAAATATTCATACACAGCTCAAGCTGTATGTTGCCATTCTAGTTCTACATGTTAAGAATTTTTTCATCTAGCGAGCGAAGGTTTCAGGGTACTCATCGTCAGATTTCAACGAAAACTATATGGTATTTATAAGCCAGATACTTATCTAAGCGATAGAAAAATTAGCGACTGAAACTGAACCGTTCAAAAAATTTTAGTTCAAATATTTTCGGATTAAAGCCTGATGGGCACCGCAAGTGAATTTTTCGTGAACCAAATAGTGGCATGAAAAAAACTGGAAACACTTCGCTGTATTTAGTTTTTGTTGTGGATGCCAAGTCAATTATTAGCATTGTTTTATACCGTATTTTTCTAACCGAAATTTCGCCGCTGCTAGTCAAAGCGGTACAAGATTAGCATTAGAGAATATGATGGTGTCTGAGAAGACTCTCTAAAAAGGGTAACTTAGCTAAGAAACAATTGTTAAAAACGGTAGTGTAACAGCGAAAAGATGACGCAAGAGGGTGTGGCCAGCTGACAGTTACCTTCGGATCATATGGTTCGACTTGTTGTTTTCACTCGAATAATGGTCAAAGGTTCATGATTAGACACAGGTTTTAACCCTATAGGGGGTTTTGCCCCCGATCCCGTTTCGTCAAAATGAAACCAGTATCGATCCCGATTCGGAAAAATGATCGATTAACCGTTAGCCAGTCGGATATTTCCCGGTGAACTGTGAGGTTAAGCATCGATTTTTACGCTGGCAAATTAAGATAAGAACGGAAATAACCGTGGTTAACCGACAATCATAAAAACAATGAGAACTAACTGGCGGTTTTTGATTGATTTATATGACATAGGTAACAGTTCGAGCGAAAATGAAAATGAATATTTTTGAAAACTCGTTGTTCTTTTGTTTTCAACTCGACTCATTTGGAAATAAGGTTCAAAGGCTTGAATATGTGTATAGATTTCTCGTTTAATCTTATTATAAATAAAAATGGTGTCGTAAGGTGCTTGGATAAATCAGTCTCGCTCCAAAAAAATCTTGCTCCCGTCTTGGAAAGTTTCAGATCCATTTCGATCCCGACATATTACTAACGGGATCCCTATACTCTACACTCATAGTAGTATGCTTACCGTAGCTGTTCCTCCACTATTGTCAGCCGCGCCATTCTCATGATGCACAATACGATAGTTGTTTCGGTGTGTCTCGTAGGACGCATCTGTATCGAGTTTTGTATGCTGTTGCCATTGCTGAGCTTCCTTTTGCTTCTCAGTATCGGGACGAAATAAAGAACGTCTACCACCAATCTAAAACGACATAGATTATACGCAAAAAGTGTATTAGAAAGCCATTCAGTTTTATTTACTGGTCTCGGCATTTCCTCCTGCATGACAGCATATTCTTGTGCTTCTGTGTCCCGCTCCTTCTGTTTTTCAGCCTGGTTTGGATAATTGAGAACGGGATGAGATTCCCTTTGAGGTCTGTCACTGATGTTCTCTCGCACTTCTTCCTTGTTGGATGCCATTCTTCTTTTGCAAATCTAAAACTAACACTCCAAGTATGCGAAAGTCGAGCATATATACTTCATCTGTAAGACTTACTCAAATAGGAGATATCTGTTATATGTAAATTTATCTAAAATATTAAACGATGGTTAGCAATTTTCTGGATGTAGAGAGATCATTAGAAGATTTTTCGCAGTTTTTAAGAAAATCAAGTATAAGATTATATAGTTTATTCATAAAATAAACAAATCGGTAGGCATTATTTGGAACTGAGCAAAAAATGTGTATACGTTGATGAAAAGCATCTACGTTTCGAAAAATACTATGATGTGTTCATAATGACATTATCAAAAATGCGGAATGTAGGGTACAAATGCACCTAAGAGTGGTATAATTACTCTGAATGCATTACTGATAAAAGTATAAATTCCTTCCCTATGATCACGTACCCATTGTACAACTCGTTTCACGACACCCACGAGTTTGGTAAACAGTGATCTGATACTAGCTTTTAAACGGTTCAGACCTGTTGTGGCATGTTGGACGTATTCTGAATACTGCTGTTTTTTTTCTAGATAGTTGGGATCCGTTTGTGCTGGCCGCCGACTAAGTATTAATTGGCGTATATCTTCAAGAGCAGCATGAACACTTTGTTCCAGATCATTGGTCATGTCTAACAACGCTTGTTCATATTCATCTTCCGGATCACGTTCTGCATGCTGCTGGGCATAGTCTTCGATATCATTAACACCCCTTTGTATATTCTCACGAATGTTATCAATCTTATTATCAACGTTAGAAACAGAGTATGCCATCTATAGTTCTAAAGAATGAAGAAAGAAATTTAAGTCAATAGCCAAATATCAATACTATGCAAAGTCAAACCATGTTACTTGAATAATCAATATTCTTTAGATCATACGAATTCCTATTATATTGTGGACTAGTGTCCGGCAAACTGGATGGGTACCCGACCCAACTCAGACCTGGATGCTGAGTAAAATTAACTAGATCGTTTCAGGTGCAAAAAGAATTCGAATCAGGTCCGGTTAAGATTGTATACCCATAGCCGAATCGATAACTACTGACATCACCGAATTTCTAACATTTTATTCTATACTATTACTAATCTTCAGGGTGGGTGTGGGTGTAGGTATTCATAAAGAACAGACACCCACACCCACACCCTTAGACTTTGGTAGTCCTTTGTCCTATGCCCTAGGCTCTGATAGTCCGTAGTCTATAGTCGCTAACCTCGGGTTCCTAGCCCTAGGCTCTGTTAGTCCCAAGGTCCTAGTCACAGTCCCAGTTCCTGGGCTCTATAGTCTGTTAGTCCGTAGTCCCTAGTTCCAGTCCCTAGGCTCTGGTAATCGCTAGCCCCGAGTCCCTGCTACCAGGCCCTAGGCTCTGTTAGTCCTTAGTCCTATGCCTTACGCTCTGGTAGTCCGTAGCTCCTAGCCCCAAGTCACTAGACCTAGGCTCTGTTAGTCCCTAATTACGGTTTCTAGGAGCCACTGCACGAGAAAAACAATCGATTTTCCAATATGGGT